TCTCCACAAAAATGAAATAGCAGCCTCCAGTCTCTTGATCTCCTATCCTACCTATTACCTAAACTTCTGGCCACCAATATGTACACGTGTCTATTCTTTCAATCCATAACTTAGCTGACCACCTTCTTCATATGGTCTTCCTTCCATGCTTCTGTCATTGTCTAATTATTCTTATACTACATTTGGTTCTTAATATAAGACCCAGTTTGACTTTTATATTAGTCCTAAATATAAGACCCCAATTCATTTTGTCTCTCATATTTACTCAATTTTTTCCAAGATGGTCCTTCTAATAATTATAGTTTTAGCCAACATACTTAATTAGTAAGGATATTTTAGGAAAGACAATACCTATTTATTACGAATAACTAACTTGACTTCTTTTCTTAATTTTCTCAAATTAGTCAACTGGCTCTTATAATTAGGACCGGAGGTAGTATTAATTCCCCTAATCATGATTTGTTCGGTTAATAATCATTCTCTGCGTTTTCTTAAATTAGAAAAAAGTAACAAATGAGTGGCTTACAGGTATATATGATGCATGCTGGCTGGTAATTATCTGCTAATGGCATCGTTGAGGGAAAGCACTTTGACGAAACATTTGACAGATTGGAGCACGCTTACGTATTCTGCTTCAAAAGCTTTTTCATTTAATTATTTAATTTCTTCCTTTCCTTCGGTTTCACTCTGCCAGCTCCATCCTTTGCGCGCCATGCTTTACTATTAATTAAGCATTTGACAATCGAACCAAACAGACAATATATAATTAACGATCCATATATAATATTCCTGAAATTCGACTGTTCTGATATATATGTAAGACATTTTCAAACTCGAAGGATATTAGTTCTCAGAAGTTTCCTCAATCTCTATGATTTTGATAGTTACGTGATGTAAATATTTGATACATATATATATATATATATATATATACAATTGGAATTCATCAATTAGTTTTAGATAACAATGAGTGTGTTTTTTATGAGGAAAATTGAAAATGATTGCGTCTAAGACATAAATAAGGAGCTATACAAGTGTTCATACGCTCGTGAATATATATTGGGAGAATCCTAGATAGCTACGAGATTATGGTGAAGAAGTTAGGAGGTAAGATATGGTTGAACGTCTATATAATAATCACATGACCTTCAAATTTGTCAAGAAATTGTGGTTTGTGACAATCCATCACCACCATTTTCAAAATTAATTAAATAAAAACTGAAAAGAAAACAATAACTATATATAGTTTTTTTAAAATAATCTAAATAGCCAATCATGGGAGAAACATTAACATTGACGAACGTTGCCATGATTAACCCGAATGTATCATTAATAATCTTATCTCCATGTAATACTCCATCCTCTTCTTTTTATATGTCACTCAACAGGAAAAAATTGTTTTTTAATTTATATGGTATTCTAGATAGATTTTCAACACAGTATATTAATTACTACTTTATAATAGCGTTATATTTGAAAAAAAGTAAGTGAGAATAATGATTAGACATCAAATTTTTTGCCTAATAATTTATGCGTAAAAACCTTGACCATCACATGGAAAGAAGCATTCATATGGAACATATATAAGCTTTATTAGCAAATGAAAAAAAAAATTAGAATTAAAATTAACTAGTTCTTTAATTATTTCTAATGTTTATCCACGGCAAAAGCAAGTCCATTCCATAATATAAACCAGAGATTTCACAAGTTGGGACTCCTATGAATTGTGGAAGATGAGTTCGCTAGCATGCAGATCGAATCAATCATTATTGGGAGGGGTGATGGGGAGAAAATTATGAAAATCCATGATGCCTTTCATTAATAATGTTTCTTTAATTTGGAATATTTGGAATATTCTAAGCAGATGCTTCATCTTAAAAGCTAGACACCCTTTTTAAGACAGAAAGGAGTGGTGACGGGGAAAAAAGTTATAGAATTCAAACTTGGAAGGGCAAAATTATTATGATGAACTACTAGTTTCCGTGCCGTTTGGATTAGAAATGAACAAACATGATCTTGAGTAAGTTTATGGGATATCTAGAAAATAAAAGAATCAATTAAAATTTTTTTTAGTATTTTACGAGATAAAATTTCTTTTACATACTTGCTCTGTACAATGAAAAATCAGTTTTAATCCAAAATATTAATTCATTCTCTTAGGATTGAACATCATTGTCTAAAAACTAGTTTGATTTATTCCATTACTCAATTACCTTTTGCTACTAATTAATTTCAACTGAACTTTGTCATGAATAATCATATTGAAATTATTAAACTGATGAGAACAGATAAATAATCACAAATAATTTTATCGTAAAAACGTACTTCAGCTTTACTGTGAACATTTTATAATGTTCTAATTAAAGCTATGCCATTGGAATTGTGAAGGTAATTTGAATGACTAAAGGCTTAATTATGGCTCCAATAGTTGCTTTTGAAAATACTGAATTATTACTCTGACAAAAAAATATTAAATCAAGTTTATAAATGAAAAACATTTCAGTGATAAAATCATTTATTATATATTAATATTACTATTTCTTCTTAATTAGAACAATAATATTACTAATTTAATCATGTTACAGAAACAAACAACAATATGTGCATGGTTCACCTCATAGAAAAGATGGACTTTCGGCCAAATCCCGAAAAAGTCATTGATATACATACATATATCATCATTTAGACAGAAGAAATAATATATAGGTGCAATAGATAGACTTGATTAATTGATTTTCGGAATTTATTAATTCAGAAGGAAAGAGTTGATGAATTAAAGAAAATTAAAATATACGGTGGATATACCCAGAATATGCATGAAGATAGCATTATCGCGTCTTTCAATGAAGGGAGGGTTTAGAATGAATTAAGAATAATATTTTGAATCGCTTAGAACGGCCAATTCATAATTTAAAATAAAAACATTTATAACAACATGTAATATACTCGTATAATAAGATTAGACAAATCTTAATTTGGTAAATGTTGGTACGCATATGTACGTCTTCTCTTTCCATTGGAACACAACATCAGCCTAGTAGCTAGGATGTCCGGTTCAAGGTTCACACTCGACACCTCAAGGAAATCCGGAGATAATGTTAAAAGATATATTCTACTTAATTAATATTATGTTTCTTCACTTATCTTAAATTCTCGTTGGAGCAGTCAATTATTATTAAAAAAAATGAGCTACTTAGTTAATTGTAAAATTTAAGCAATCTATAAGAGAAAGTTATAATTGTAAGCAGAAATTAAGTTAATGTAACTACAAATTTGAAGAACTTTGAATGTAATTCTCATTCAATAAGATGAATATGTATAAATAGGTGTTATACATGTCTCAATCCTTATGTTTTTTCGATTTCAAACATTTTCCTGCTCAAAATTCTGATTCTACCACTGTCTAACTCGTTTTCTTTCTTTCTTTCTTTCTTTTTTGTTATATCAAAACTGAGTCAAGTTTGATCAATTAAATTTTTTTTAATAGAATACATATGCAATTTATTACCTAATTAAATTATCCTATGGACATTTAAAGCTGATATATATGATGTTGATATTGGAAATGCGATTAATACTAAACAGTTGAACATTTTAATTTCAACATTTCTTCGTTAGGAAAAAAGCCCTTGTAATGAAACACAAATCCACTTTTTCTTTTGGCCAACAAAACAAAATCCACTTATGATATTAACTAATTGGCATATATTATAAATAATTAAAATTTGTACGATTTTCTTTAGTTATCTACAAACCGTGGTCCAATTGAATTTTGATAGTTCCTTATCTAAAAATAAAATGAAATTGCACTTTTAATGTTTTAAACTTTACATAAGATTCTATTTTGAACCCTTAATTTTATAAAATACTTTTTAATCATTTAAGCATAATGTTGCTAAAAAATGTTAATATCAAAATATTAAAGGTTGACAAAATATTCTCAAATATTAACATATATGTTTAATTTTCAAAATAATAATAATTGTTACAAAAAATTATCATTATTTGATACCGGTAATATTAGGGTTAAAGACTGAAAAAATATTTTATAAAAAAATTAATATAAAACCTTATATAAAATTAAGGGATTAAAGTTACGATTTTACCTAAAAATGATAACATATATAACTTGTCAACTCATGTCAATATCCAAAAATTAATTAATATTGTTCTTTAGTGCGAATAACCTAACAATATCTCCCGTGCAAAAACCAACAATATTAACTGTTATGTGTGTGCGCGGTAAAAATTTCAAAGAGATGGTCAGAAACCAACAAACAATTTTTTAAGCATGAAAGAAATAATTCGAAGATATATGGTAGTATAGTTGTAGTACAATATATTACTTTCTTGCCTCATATATATGTTTATATGCTTCAATTTTTTTAAATAAACTGTCGCTTTCATTCTGAAGCATATGCGCCATTAATTAAGTAGATATAGATATGGATTTTTCCGAATCCCTACAATTTATTATTAATTTCTATGAAACCATGACTTAAAAAAAAAAGAAAAGAAAAACTTCTCTTAACTATAGCCATGCAAAAGTATTTCACACAATTTATCATCTCTAAAGTTTACAGAATCAATTTCATAAAAATAGAAAATTATGTGCAGTGATTTAATAACATGAATTTTTTATGATAAAATTTCTGTAAAGTTAAGCTCCAGAGACAAGAAATAAAGATATATACAATTCTCTTTTTTTCCCGAAGATAAACACAATTCTCAAAACATAAGCATTCACATTATATTTCCTTACATTAATGATTGACATAAATGAAACAGTGTTAAAGAAAGAAAAGAAGAGAAAGAAAAAGAATATATATATATATATATATAGAGAGAGAGAGAGAGAGAGAGAAGTGCATGGAATGGAAATCTGAGAGAGGGGGGAAAGGGAGAGTGTGAATATAAAAATGAAACCTGAAAAGAGGCAAAATATATGAACATGTCTTAAATGTTGTCCACACGGCTCTCTCCTCCTTTATATATATCCTCCCTAAATTCTTTCTTCAATACTCAATCCCCTCACCGCATATATATATGTATATATATCTCCCTCTCTCCATCTCCTCTCTTCCCTGTCGCTGTATATATAAACACAAACACATATATACAAGAGGTTGCTCCATTTGGAAATCAACAAGCACAGCGTCATCCTCATCACCTGAGACATAAGTATAATAGAGAGAGAGAGGGAGGGAGGGGGAGAGAGAGAGAAGTAAGAAGGAAGATGGTGAAGTTCTCGAAGGAGCTAGAAGCTCAGCTGATACCAGAATGGAAGGAAGCGTTCGTAAACTACTGGCAGCTGAAGAAACACATCAAGAGAGTAAAGCTCTCCAGACTTCCTTCGCAATCCCCTCATCATCACCGACCTTCCCTTCTCCATCCACTTGGCTTCTTCTCCCAAAAGCCTCCCCAACCAGACATCATCCAGGTACCATAACACTTTGTTTTCTGGCTTTACAGAGCGTACAACGTGGTAAAGATCGATTATTCTCTTGCATTTTAATTAAGGATAAACAAACAAACACACACACACATATATGTTATTAGATGTGGGTTTTAAATATTTGAAATCTGCAGCCGGAAAAGGAGGATACGCGGAAAGCAGGTGGGACGATTGATGAATGATGCGTGTCTGTGTGGGTAGCTGTATGCTTTAATTTGTGGGTTAAGGACTAATGTGGCAACAAGAAATTAATTAATGGAAATGATTATTATTGAGTGAGTGCGACGTCATATATATAGATGTTGGGATCCAGTACGCCCTCTTGTTAGTCTTTATGTACTTTCAAATTACCCCTCAACTTTCTTCCCTCTTCATTCCCTTCTTTCTTTTCAACTCTGCTCATGCTCTATCCGCCAATATATATGTGAGCGCGCGCGTCCGTGTGCTCTGCAAAAGCCTTTTGACCGTTGCAGTACTCTACATCGGTCAACAATCCTATGACCTTATTGAAAGAGGTTTCTATTGGGGAAAATTGCAAAAAAAAGATATTGGAAATGGGAAAATTACAAATAGGGACTCGTTATAACATTAGTATAAGTTTTGATAATAATTGATAAGCAAATGACAATAATTTTATGAATAGGTCCTTGCATGCAGTTTCTCAATTTTAAAAGTCTTATTTTACGATTTTTCCTTTTTATTGTATTTTTTCACAAGAATATTTCATTATGTTAAATTTGAGTATTGTAAGGAGCCTAATTGGAATAGCTTTAATTACCAAAAGTCTTTTTCTGCATTCCCTTCTAATGTTATTAAAAGGGGTATTTGGAAAACTATAAAAATACTTTTAAAAAAGCTCTTTTTCGTAAATCAAGATAAACTCTTTTATATATTTATTTCATATATCGTAAAATTATTTTTAAAATTATGATTTTATTTTCACCCTGAACCCCAAAAGGCTTGTTGGTAAAGTTGAAACCCTTTTGATATATAAATATACGCAGAGGAGGAAAATGTGAAGAGGGAGAAAGTAAAAGGAACGAATGAATGGAAAGGGAAAAGAAGAAACGAAATGTGATTGGTTAGGGGAAGTGAGGGAGGATGGTGGTGAAAAGAGTCACAAGTGGGCTGAATTTCTGGAACGCTTCTTTTTTTGTGCAGTGAAGAGTTTCTAATTCCTTGACGAAACCCAATAAAACGGTTTTGTTTCTTTTAATGGCTGTGCACTGCCACGAGATCATCGTGATGTTGTTGAGACACACCACTAAATTCCATGAACAACGTAACATCAATCCTATGTTATATATAACACAGCATGCTTCAATGCTCGATGGCAGGTCAGGAGAAAAATCATGGACGGCACAGACGATGAAGTCTATTATGAGACAGAGCTTGCCCAGTTGTTTTCTGAAGAAGATGAGGTAACTAATTAGTTATATGTTGTTACATTGGTTGGTTAATTATTATTTGTATAGTTTCATGTGTGTGAGGTTGAATATCACGTTGTTAAGAAATAAAATGTGATTGGGTGGATTGATTTCAGGTGCGTTTGTTTTTTGAGAGATTGGATGAAGAGCTGAATAAAGTGAACCAGTTCTATAAGAGGCAAGAAAAGGAATTCCTGGAGAGAGGAGAAATGCTCCACAGGCAGCTTCAGATCCTTGTCGATCTCAAGCACCTGCTCTCCCCCGACCGCCACCGGAAAATTCCTCCGCCCTCAAAGCCCTCGGACGCCGCCTCTTTCCACCATTTTCTGGCCCGCCACCCCGACTACTCCGGTCAGACCCCCATCCTGTAACACTTTTTGTTCCATTAAGGCTTTAGACCAGTAACAATTTTACGTTATATAGTGAAGTTGGTAAAAGTTAGTTTTTTTTAAATAAAGTACTTACAGTAAAACTCATTAATTAGAAGATTTTGGTTAAGTAATTAGAAATTTTTATAATTAGTTAGGAATACTACAAAAAAATTATTGCTTTAGATAAAAACATGTTATATTAGGAAGCATGCTTAATATTTTTATAATAAGCACAGGAGGGAATATTTTGTGTTTGTATGTAATTTATATAGTTGCTGATCTAGCATTAAAGAAACATGGTCTTTCCCTATCTTTAAACTTGAATGAGTAATATGCAAACGAACTTATTATTAGGGATGTCCTTATCCTAATCATGTATGAGAAAATGGTGGAATTTTATATGGTGAAAAGTTGTTGACGAAGGAAATTGTGTGGGCTCTGATTATAATATTTATTATTCATTGGTAATAAAATAAAAATGGTTGAGTATGGTATATGTGAATAGAAGAAATTAATGGGTTGATGTCAACTCCTGACTCCAGCTAATTTCGTCTGTTGTCTGCAATCTCTATTCTTTACGCTTCCGATTTTGTTGGTGCCAGTGTAATGTCAAGCCTCCACCTGTGTGCGTGTGTATACATACATATATATATGTATGTATGTATCTATATACAATTCCTAAATCATATTTCCCCTACAAATTCGTCTCTTTTAAAAAGTAATTACTCCCATGCTTAATCTAATTAATTTAATTATGTATAATATAAACATTCTAACAAGTCGCTTACACTAAAATATTAAAATTTAGGAATATATGAGTTTTGGTTCATTCTTCTGATAAAAGATGAGATTTTAATTTATTTTCCTTTCTATTTTTCACAACTTATTTTTTGGGCATTCTTATATAAAATAGATAAAGTAATTGAAGCCAAATCAGATAGAATTATTGAGGTCCTACGTCTCAATCATGGTATTTAATTACACGATATAGAATGATGTAGTTTCACTAGTTTGTGACTGACAACTGGGAACCACATATATATGAGGAGGAAAAAGGGGGAAGATTGTGAATATATTATTATTTTATTGCACGCCTTCTCAAATCCGTTTTATGTCATGAAACGAATTTAATTTAGTTAATTAATCTCCACTTAACTGCTTAATTATCATGTGTGATTGATATGCAGAAGATGAATCTAAACTAGAAGCTTTGCAAACCAATGAGATGAAGGCAACATTAGAGAAAAATGGCGTAAGTTTTGTTAATTCTGCCACCAAGGCAAAGACAAAGAAAGGCAAGTCTAAGATGGCCATGAGGATCGATATTCCGGGAGCCGCCGGACCGGCACGGGCAATAACGGCGGCGACCTCCGTGCTGTGGGAGGATCTGGTGAACAATCCGATGACGGGAGGGTGCGTGGACATCAATCAGAAGAGAAGAATCCAATACGCAGAAAAAATGATTCGAGGAGCTTTTGTAGAACTCTACAGAGCACTTGGCCTTCTTAAAACATACAGGTTACTTATTTCTCTCTCTTTCTTTATTTTCCTTTTTTTTTTTCTGTTGGGATCATTTAATATTTGATTTAAAAAAAAAAAGAAATGGGGTGGCACAAAATCAGATTTTATTATTAATTGAGAGTTGGCGTGATAGATTAGTCAAATGGACCAAGACGGCTCTACAAGCTTCTGTCTGAGTCTCTTTATTATGGAGCTTTCAGTGTGAAACTACCCCCACCTTCTTCAAACACACAAGCGAACAAAATCAATTTGGACTTCTTTATTACTTGCTTTACGTCAATGCCTTTTTTTTTTTTTTTGCCTTTTTTCCCCACCTTTAATTAACTTAACCAGATCATGGTGAAACAAATAAAAATAAAAGAAGTGGTGAATATGAATCTGAGGAAATTAAAACGATAAGTGCTGTGCGTGAGTGACACTACTGATCAATCCTTTTTACTTGAAGGCAGAGAATTTTGACAAAATGTTGGGGTTGGGAAAAGCAAAATCAAAGCTTTTTAAAAAGTTTGTGAATATGTAAATAATTGGGACACAAAATGCTCTTTTTGGTCGTAGTTGAACCACTTTAGTGTACCTGAAAGGAATCAAAGACATCATATAATACATATATCACTCCACACAAATTCATTTTCTTCATTTCTTTCACGTAATTATTTATGCTGTTTTGTAGTTCTGATGGAAACCACTATCTGCCTTTTTTTTGACACAGCTCACTCAATATGGTAGCATTCTCAAAGATACTCAAAAAATTTGACAAGGTATATCATACATATCCTCGTTGCCCATGATCACTCAAAAAATTATATATATTCGATCATGTTTTTCTCAATTATAAAAAGATAAGAAAGGAAAGGGCGATATAAAGTTTTAAAGGAGGAAAAAGTTGCTGCGGCCTTATTTATGACCTTTGATACTACTCTTTTGATCCTTAATATAAGACTCATTTAACTAGTTTGATTAGATTAAAGAAGTTAGGTAAATTAGTTAATTATAAGAAACGTAACACGTTTTTCCTAAAATACTATAATCATCTTTTTTAGTACTTCCTCTTTTCCTTCTACTTGATTATGATTGAGGAAGTATCCATAGGGGTAATTTAGAGAAAATTGATAAATATAAAAAAATGAGTCTTATATTTATGACCAAAACCAATTCAATAATTAAGGACCGGAGGAGTATTTACTTTTGGCCTAAACATAAGATTTATTTTGTTGAGTAATTTACATTGCAAACTAGATTTCATATTTAGAATAAAAGATAATAAATTGCATTTGAAGACTTGTGATAGTTGTAATAAAGATCTCATGCTCTATGATTCGATGAATCTACATTACTTTTTTTTTTCCTCCATCCAAATTATTTACATAATTTCTTTTTTCTCCCCCGCCCAGCCTCAATCTTTTCTTATCCCTACTCAGCGATAGTGATATGTTATTGCATTCAATCCATACATTTAATGTCAGTCCATATCTTAAATATATATATTTATATAAAATATAGTTTAGTGGAGGTGACATAAGAAAAGTTTGTATTTTAATACAATATATGGCCATAGCCTTAAAGAGATATTTTAAGAACCAAAACTACTTAATTACTAGAGGGCCATTTTCATCTCAGTGCGTGATTCATCCTTTTTTAATTATTATTAAAATAAATCCTCACGGCATGACAATGAAATTTTAAAATACAGCTTGAACTTATACATGATGGGGGTGATATTGATTTTGGCGTGTGTTGATGAAGCAGGTATCTTGCCAGAAGACTTCAGAAAATTATCTAGCAGAAGTGAAGAGGTCCCATTTCATTAGTTCTGATAAGGTGTATATTATATTGCAATAATTAAGCTTGATTAATTACTATAATGAATTAATGAGGAGGAGGAGATTAGTGGGTTATATGGCACCATATTCCAATAAGAGAGATAATTAATAATTATTTGAATGTGTGGGTTGAAAGGTTGTGAGATTAATGGACGAAGTGGAATCCATATTCACAAAGCACTTCGCCGACAGTGACAGGAAAAAAGCCATGAAGTTCTTAAGACCTCAACAGCAACACAAAGATTCTCACACGGTCACCTTCTTTGTCGGTAATCCTTCTCTCTCAAACACTGCTAGTGGAACATATCATAATTATATTGCTGTTCAATGGTAATTTGTAAGCCATGTTCTTTTTTTTTTTTATCGTCCCATTTTCTACCCCACACACACACACACACACACATATCTTCTTCTGCTTAATGACCACCAATGTTGCGGACCCACCTAGATCATGGATTCGAATCTATTTATTACTACCTCCGATCCTTAATATAAGGTTTTGTTTGATTTTTATTTTGGTCCTAAATACAAGACCTCAATCCATTTTGTCTCTCATATTTATACTATTTTTTTCCAAGATAGTCCTCCTAACAATGGTAGTTATAGCCAATACACTTAATTAACAAGGATATTTTAGAAAAAAACAACACATATTTATTACAAATAACTAACTTAACTTCTTTTTTTAATTTTCTCAAATTAGTCAACTAGCTTTTATGATTAGGACCGGAGGTAGTATTATTTTTTTTGAAGGGGGGGAGGTTCAGATAAATAAAATAACTGACAGTATTTTTTCTCTTCTCTAATAATTACTCTTTTGTTGCTGTGGTTATTACAGGGTTGTTTACCGGTTGTTTTGTATCACTGTTCTGTGTGTATGTAATATTGGCCCATTTGAGTGGTGTATTTTCTCCTACTTCAGAGGCAGCTTATGTGGATGCTATCTATCCTATTTTCAGGTGCTACTTCACATTCTGCTATAAAATTACTATTAAAATTTTTGGTAAATGAGCATCATTGGTTTAATTCCTAATAATTTTGTTAAAAGAAATTATACAAGATATCAATTGGTACTCAAAGAATGTTTTGATGTGCAGTATGAAAAAATTGGTTTCATTCTTAGATCATCCTGATCCTTCCTCATTTGAATTCACTTGCTTAAAAAGCACGGTTTGAGAGACACATAACATGACGCATTCTTGAGCTTTGAGTGTTAGTATATAACATGCATAACTTGGTTTAATTAGAAGTAAACAATAAGTACATGTTATTAATTTGCTAATGATGTTATAAATGATTGATTTTATGCAGTGTGTTTGCATTGTTAAGCCTGCACTTGTTCATGTATGGATGCAATTTGTTCATGTGGAAGAGCACAAGAATCAATTACAACTTCATATTCGAATTCCAACCAAATACAGCTCTCAAGCATAGGGATGCCTTTTTGATATCCGCCACCTTCATGACTGCTGTAGTTGGAGCAATGATCATACACCTTCTTCTTAAGGCTGCCGGCTTTTCCCCCGGCCAAGTTGATGATATTCCTGGAATTCTCCTTCTGGTTAGTATCATATATGCTCACTATTGCTTTTACAACTGTCAATTTAGGCTTCTCTTTGGTGCTTAGAAAGAAAGAACAAACATTATAGCATTTGGAAATGGCTAAACCTGAGTTTTGGTCAGCTGATGGTTCTGACTTGTTTATTTGTCCATCTTAGCTCTCTATAGGCTTGCTCATTTGCCCATTGGACATCTTTTATCGCTCAACCCGCTATTGCTTCCTTCGTGTTCTTCGCAACATTGTGTTCTCTCCACTTTACAAGGTAAATTCCTTCATTACCTTTATTGATTATAACCATATCTGGAGAGAACCAAAACATTCATTATTTGATTCAAAAAATACTTTTTTTTTTACAGGTTCTGCTGGTAGATTTTTTTATGGCTGACCAGCTAACTAGTCAGGTGATCTTGCACTAGCCTGCAAATTAATCTTAGGAAGAATTGCAATTAGGTCACATCTAAGGGAATTAAATACAAAAAAGTCCCTTAAAATTATGGAATTATTTTGAAGTCCCAAGAGACCTTTTTGTAATAAATTTTATTTGTTTAATTACCAAATTACCGTTCTTTCTTTTTTTTTTTTTAATTTGCATTGACAACTGAAAGAGTAGTAATTGACAATTTAGGGTGCAAGGATTGACAACTATCGCGGCTGGTTTAACAATACATTTTCTTAGCATATCACACTCTAAGTTGTCAAACCAGCTGCGATAATTGTCAGTCCTTGCACTCTAATTTGTTAACCACTGTTCTTTCAGCTGTCAATGCAAACTTAAAAAAAAAGATAATTTCGTAATTAAATAAATAAAATTTATTGCTAAAAAGTCCCTTAGGACTTCAGAATAATTTCATGATTTCAAGGAACCTTTTTCTATTTAATTTCCTTAGGTGGAACCTAATTGCAATTTTCTCTTAATCTTATTCCTTCAGTCCCAAAAAAAAAATCTTATTCCCTTCTTTTTTTTTCCCCTTCTCATCCTCTAACTCGTGAAGGACATTCAATTATATGTTGTAAGTACAGATTCCATTGCTAAGGAGTTTGGAAACCGCAGGCTGCAACTTCGTTGGCAGAGTTTTCAAAACATACCCACCTGAGACCTGCTCTTCTGGAAAGCTATACGTGGAAATAACTTACATAATCTCATTCTTGCCTTACTATTGGCGTGCTATGCAAGTGAGACGGATTACAGACTCACAATTCAATTCAATTTGTCGAAACCAAAAATATATTCCACTCACTATACCATCAAACTAACACCTACTGTAATTTGAATGTCTCCTCCAGTGCGCAAGACGATGGTATGATGACAACAAGATAGACCATTTGACTAACATGGGAAAGTATGTATCAGCAATGGTGGCTGCTGGGGCTAGAGTCACCTATGGCAGGAAAGAGGATCATCTATGGTTTGCTATAGTCTTGGTGACATCTGCGGTGGCCACAGTTTATCAGTTGTACTGGGATTTTGTCAAGGATTGGGGGTTTTTAAATCCCAACTCCAAAAACCGCTGGCTTAGAGATGACCTCATCCTAAAGAACAAAAGCATATATTACTTGTCTATGGTACAGTGAATTTTCAGCTAGCAACACTGCTTCTTTTGTTTTACAATCATTTATAGTTTTCGTCTTTTTTTCCTTTCTTTCTGATCAGATAAGGATGTACTGGATTTCAGGCCTTGAATGTGGTTTTAAGAGTTGCTTGGGTTGAGGGTGTTCTGCATCTCAAAGTAGGACCTGCTCGATCCCGATTGCTAGAATTTTGGTTAGCTTCATTGGAGGTTATTCGAAGAGGGCATTGGAATTTCTACAGGTACTTTTCCTGTTCTTAAAAGGGTTATCTGAATCCTTGCAGTTCTGCAAGTACTTGCCATTCAAATTTTCAATGAACATATGATGTCAGAATTTTTTCCCCCTTTGAGTGGTAAAATAATGGAGAAAATCAACTTTTCACGGAGCAGGTTGGAGAATGAACATCTGAATAATGTGGGTAATTTCCGGGCAGTGAAGGCAGTTCCATTGCCATTCAGGGAGACAGAGTATGACAATTGAAGAGATTTTCTAGTACATGTATAGATATCTCTCAGACATTCTGACATAAATGGAACAAGGGAGGCATCCCTAGAAGAGTGGCAATCCTCACCATTCTTCTGATATGCGAGCTGCAAGACAAGTGTGAATAGGCACCAAATATGCCCATTGTAATGCCAAAAAGTGCACGTCAAAATGACATGATCACTTGTAAATTGGCCTGATCCAGATCAGCTTCATTAGTCAAAGAAAGTTCTTTTTTATTCTTCTCTGTAGCTTTTTTCCTCTACTTTCTCATGTGTTCCAATGAGTTTTGAAGAGATTACAAGTTTGTGTCTATCTTATCTACTGTAGCCTTGAGAAAAAAAGAGGCAAGAAGAAACAATTGTACAAGTTGCAGTTGGTAGAAATAAGTTTGATTCTAATGAGTGAAGTAGTCGACCACCTCCACGGAGGTAAATCCTATGCTTGAACTGGATTACTCTTATTTAAGATTTCAAGATTACATCACTAGGAGGATATAAGTTTGACTCTCTAGTCAACCCTGACTCAACTCTAGTTTTCGACCCAAGACTTCTGACTGGACCTAGACAGCCACGACACTCACAGAGCCCATATCCAGTTCGTGTAAAACAAACAATAAACAAAGGATTCCTTGGCAAAAAAACCAAGAATCTTTCGGGTTAAAAATATGTAACTTGCTTTTACGATGTATCTAATCTGGTGCATCTCTTCATGACGGTGGGCCCCCCAAATTCCTTCAATGCAATCAATGTTGGATCACCAAATCCGCCAAAGGACAATGCTGTGGCCTGTAGGTATTGCCCAATAAGAGAAATGAATTATTATGGTTACTATTTTGTTGTATGACATGGAAGATAAAACAAGTCGTGCTTAGCTTGATTTTCTTCTTCTCTTTGGCTATAGTCCGCATCAATATACCAAACTGAAGCCCGGAACCTAACGCCTTCAGCTCAATCATGTGCAAAGTCTGATCTGATATGGCATGATTAATTATGTAGCTTAGTTGTCTCCTCTCTTTTATAGCATAGCAGAATGGAGCTTTCTCTTTCCATTGAGTAGCTTGGTAGGCATCACCATTTCAGGGTATTTAGTCTTTAAGGCTCACGTGAATCTCCTTTACCATCCATTTGCATAAAAACAATAAGACATGAATGGGGGATACGGTGGTCCCAATTCAGATGAAAACTACTATACTCATTTATAGTGACTGCCATTACGAAGCAGCAATGAAACAGCTCATCACACACAAACTAAAGAAAGGAATTGCCAGTAAGTTGCTATGATGGTACACGGAGCAGAGCTTTTCGCTTTTATTTCCATTCCAATACCTTTTCTATCCTGCCAAACTTCTAAATGGAAAAGCATTCCTTTTCCTTTCTATGCATATTCATTTTCTAGCAACATATCTTGTTGAGCATGCAATGAAGAACTTGAAGCCATATGCAGTAATCTTCCATCTTAATTGGGGTTTAACTGGTTGAGATCTTTCATCATCTTCGCCAAGTAGTACAAAGGACTCTTTATCTTCAGCCAGTGGTTGAACTAGTCAACCATCAATATATAAATGCTGCTGAGTTCCTCCTCACTACAACATGACCTATTGAGTAGAGATGTTCTTTTCATAATACACTCAATTTATTTGCCCCAAAACAACTTATACAACCCATTCTGCTTACAACTTTTATCAATAAATTTAATTAATCTTAACCGAAAAGTTATGAACGTAATTAAATTTGAGTAAAAATGAATCAAATAAAAACAAAAACAAAAACTCAATAAAATTATACATCAGGAAGCACTTATAATTTCCTAATGATTGCCGGCTTGTGGTTTCTGCCTCCATGTACACCACAACCATGGATTTATACTCTCCGAATTGTTGCCAGCTTCCTTGCGTCAGAAACCATAAAGATATCTTGAGCGCTTTTAATGCTCTCAAGAAATAAATAGCTGCATGTGACTCACTGTAACCTTTTCAACTGTTTCAGCATTCCTGTTAGTTCGGTATACTCTAGCAGGCTAATGACACCGCACAACTTACCTACGTAGGAAACCCCTTTCTGTGACAGAGTTTAAATAGTTATTAAGTAGGCCCCTCATGCTCCCTCTACCCTTGTTAGGTGGAATAATTATGTAACGCCAGATTTTATTGCGGATAACTGAGCAGTAATTTCATTTACATAATTTTTATCCATTGTTCACTAACTACAATAAGATCACCTATATTATATTTAGATGTACTTACTTCTGTAGGGTGCGAGTATGTAATGAATATAAAAGAGTATATTTCATAAGTTTTCGCCTGTGTTATTTTTCTATACCTAATCGCCAAGGTGACATTTTCGTAAAAGGTTCCCCGGGGGGGGGGGGGGGAACAGCTGACATTATTTTTCCAATGTTTGTATATGCATCCATGATAAGTTAGTGACAAAATACATGATAACTAGATGTGAAATTGACAAGTAAACAAATTCAATATATGATTTCAATCCAAATATTGCGCAGAGATATATTAAAAACTCACTTCAAGCATTACTTTGCTCTTCCTAATAATTAAGCATGACTATTGGATATAAAGAGTGCTGCATTTTATCTACAACGTTGCTAAACCATAAAAATATTCATCCTAATTAGGCGTATTATATAATGAAGATTCCTATGAAGAAAAAAGCATCAATGAACTTTAGGGATTTGCTCTGCTCTCAGATATTCTGCAATTCTCTTTGAAATACAGTATGCTGTTGACTGTATAGTGATCATAGGATTCACACCAACTGCAGTTGGAAGCACACTGCCATCACAGACAAACAAGCCCTCTGCTTCCCAGCTTTGCCCATTCTCATCAACTGCTCCTTCTTTCTCATTAACTCCCATTCTGCAGCTTCCCATCTGATGAGCAGAACTGTATAGATTCCAATGCTTTCCTGGTGATAAGGCGGCCTCTGCTGGATACACATTGCCTAGGAACTCTTCCACTTCTTTTTCAGTAATCCCATTACACTTCATTCTCTGTCCATCACTCCTGTGAGTTCCTACTTCAACTGCGCCTGCAGCTATCAGAATCCTTAGTGCCTGCTTCAACCCAGCTTTCATGTTCTCTTTGTCTATTGCATTCAACTTATAGCTGATCCTTCCCTCTGATGTCACTTGCCCTGAAGCATTGTCTCTGATTATTGTGATCAAATGGGCAGTTCTTGAGTATTTCAGCACCCTTTGTTTGAAGTCAAGTCCAGATAGCCAAGGGCATAAGGAAGCAAAGCTTGCTGGTCCCAAAGCAGGAGTTTCAATGATGGCCCTTGCATTAGACTTGGGATCACTCGATGATTGCACCTTATGGACTGATGTGATTATGCCTCCCTCGTAGGCTTTTCCTTTGAATTCCGAAATGTTGTCTGGGAAGTATCCCCAAGCCATTAGAACAGGATGAAGGTGAAGGTTTCGCCCAATGTTCTTGTTCTTCAGCCCACTGGAGATCATTAGAGGAGGTGTCAAAAGAGCCCCACCTGCAGAAACTGTCACTTTGGCCACAAATTCCAGCTTCATAGTGATTCTGCTGCTTAAAGCTTTTGCCCTCACTCCTACGCATTTCTTCTTCCTGTCACTTCCACTCCTTTGACCTTCCAACATGAACCTCTCAGCTTTGCATCCGGTAACAATTACTGCACCATGATCCACAGCATCTACAAGCCATGTAAGTTGGGTTGCTTGTTTCTCGCCTTTTGGACAACCAAAACCACAAGAACCACAGTAATGATTCCCAGATGAGTTTCTAGGGACAAAATCAACTTTCAAGCCAAGATTTTGACATCCTCTTCTGAGTACTTGATTCTGGAGACCCTCCTCTGTACAATCCTCCGTGACTCCAATCCTTTGACACACAGTTTCCATTGCAGACAGATACTCGGGGCTTGAAAAGAAGGAAATCCCATGGCTCTCAGACCATTCATTAAGCACCTCATATGGGGTCTTAATGGAAGCAGACCAATTCACGGCTGAGCCACCTCCCACAGTTGATCCTGCAAGAAGCTGAATTCTGGAGTCCGCAGAAGCAAGAACCCCTCCATTTTCATACATTTGGTCCATGGAAGGGCCTTCAAGGGAAGAATAATCCTTGGCCGTGAAGTAGTTTCCTTTCTCAATAACAACCACCTTGTGGCCTGCACTTGCAAGAACAGCAGCAGCAACACCCCCACCACTACCAGACCCAACAATCACTACGTCACATTTGACTCTCAGGGTGTTGTTTCGGGAGTCCATTGTGACATGGAGGCCTTTCTCAACTAGAGATTGTTTCAGAGTTGAATCAGACTCATAAATGGTTTCTACGATTCCCTTTTGAAGAGGCCTCACGTTAGAGTCATTGCTTGGTTTCTCATCATCAGCAGGCACCTCATATCCAATGGCTTTCCATGCTGGGTTCTCACCATTTTCATCAACCTGCAGGGATCAAAACTTTGGATTCAATGGATTTCCGTTCTGAGAATTTTAATGCAGTCAGGTATGAGTGTATGTAATTCATGAGCGGAATGGAATGGGATGATAATACATAAAAAGATGGAAGGAGGTTGAAGAATACCCAGGAGAAATAAACTAAGAGGCATAAGACTTTGACGTAAGCAAAAGCGAGTCTGATAGGAGTGAGGAAGCGATGCTGGAGCCAGCTCTGAACAACCTTCTCTCGTTTGTGCAAAGGGATGCCTGAGAAATTGTTGAGGAAGGGCCATCTCTCACTGAAACACAGAGATCCACAAAGCAACAATGTGCCTAGCCTTGTCGAGAGAAGCCATAGAATCACTCTAACCAGGATCACTGCTTCTATCAAACCTCTATTCGCTAACTTTTCTGCAACCTGCAGCCCTCTCCTTATAAATCATTATTATACGGCTTATCTAACAAATTAATAGATTAAAATGATTATGGTTTTGAAGGAACAAATTAATATTTTTATAGTAAAAAGAAAGGGGGAATCTTGAGTGCCATTTGTTATGGTTTTGTTATTATTATGCAATTATATTTATTTTTTGGTAGTGAAGATACAATGATTATTTTCATGCATAATTTTTTAATATTTTCTTTTTGATTATGTTTTTATTGTGTGAATTAAGAAAAGTGGAAATGCATGGTTCAGTCCTAACAGATTTTTCATTGAAATTATGTCAATTGTCTGATTGTAAAATTGCATAAATTTAAATATGAATCACTGACACAAACGGATAAATATTTATATGGCTTAAAGAAATAATGCGGCCCTATTCAGTTTCCAAAAACAAATGAATAAATTAAATCGATCGATAGAGGTTTCTTTATTTGGTAATTTTATTACACATGCGCGTCCAAACATGAACACTTATTACATAATATTACTTTTTATCCTAATTATAAAATCACGTTTGTAGATTACAAATAAAGTTTTATAATTAGAACCAGAAGATTACATGATAGGCCAACACTAATTCACATGCAAGCCAAAACTGGTTTAACACTTTAACAAATAGGCGAATTAAATTGACTGGGGCATAAAATAGGCCAATTATGTGAGTACAAGTACAACGTCAACATATGGCTCTAAATTTTTTATTATTATTTTAATGGAAAAAATTGATTATATTATTAATAGAGGATAACTGCTTTGAAAAGACTTCAAATTAAAGAAATATGGTGGGACACCACAAAAGAAAACTACAACTAGAAAGGAGGAGAAATTTTAAAAAGTGTGTGAAGTTTATTTTCTTTCACTTCGATTAAAAAAAAGAAAGAAAGAAAGAAAGAAAGAAATGGTGAAATTAAACCAACACAAAGTCATGCTAAAAGTTAAAACTTTACACAGAAACAGTGTCATGCCATATGCATGGCCTGTGTTTCTAATGAATTCATCAGAAACCAAACAAACAGAAACTTTCCTTTTTGATACAAAGTTGCAGAGAAAGATCAGAAATGAAGAAGACAGGGTAGGTACGTACCAGATGAGGGATGGGATGGTGAGAAGCAGAAGAAGCCCAGAAGGATGAAAGAGGCTTAGAAGGAGGAGTCTGAGATTGAAGAGCCTCCAAAGGCAAAGAAGGCAACAAAACCTCACATATGCTTCCCAGTGACTTCATCTCTCCTTCTGTGAACCCATGTCTGTATTTCCTCTCTCCTCCTCCTCCTCCTCTCAACAATGGATGACTCTCTCTCCTCATCTCTCTCTCTCTCTGTGTGCTTGTGATCAATAACACAACGTGTGCTTGAGGGTTTGTGTATGTGTGTCTATATATACTAGAAATCAGGAAGAAGGAGTAGTTTATCTGTAAATATAATGATGGTTGGGAGTTGAGGAGGAAGACAGGAAAAGGAAAGAAAGTGATGGGACCTCCACTTCTCTAGAATTTACATTTCTGAGTTATGTGATTTGTGAAAGAGAGGAAATAATCAAGTTTTGGAGTTTCTGGAACCATATTCTGATACATGCTGCACAACAGGGGCAGGATACTTTATTCTTTGGGTTAGGTATAAAGTCATAACATTACACAAAACAAGAACAAATGGACAAAGTTAATCACATGTATGTATCACTGTTTGGGGGTTAATTTTAATTTTGACCAAAATAAGCAAAAAGATGATTATGTGAATGTGAGCAACCATGTTAGGTGGCTTTAACTAAATTCTCTTTGGTTTTAACCCCACCACCATTGCATTTGCATGTCTCTATTGTGTCCTTTAATTCTTTCACAGCTCCTTTTAAGTTAAAATAATTTTAGAAAAGGCACTATCAAGTATCAAATCATGCATATGATGGTAAATATAAGGTAAATATTTATATAAAAAATAAGGAAAATTTTGGAAAAAGTCTCCAATTGAAAATTCTACTGGTGAAAATGATTTAAATCAAAACACCACGACTCTGTCTATGCCAAATTTGTAAATGTGTATCAAAATTTATCAAATCATTTCTTACCAATAAAATTTTTAATTCAATTTTTCCCCCTTTTCCAAAAAAAAATGTCTCCTCTTTCAAATACAATCGTATCCATCCATCGCTATAACGATTGACCAAGCACCCTCATGCACGCAATGTATATGACCTTAGTAAATATACTTGTTAAGTTGTTATTGGTTGCATATATATGACCTTAACGTTTTCTTTAGGAGAGAACTAAACGACTTTGCTTTAATCGGCCACATGCATGCACACATATATATAATATAACCCACTGTGTCCTAGATGTTTATATCCCACAATTAATAATAAGATTATGGGAAGGTTCCTAGTTCCTACCCTGGATTAAATTGTGATGGACAAATTTGAACCAAAACGATGGAACTCTTCATTCATAAGCAAAATATCTTTGGAGTTATTTTACAAAATGAAGAAAGTAGGCTAAAGTATACATTTAGTCATTTAATTTTATGCAAAGTTTTAATTTAGTCTCTTAACTTTAAAAAACATACATTTGGTCCTTTAACCCTAAAATCATTAGGCTTTAATGATGATTTTTTTGTAACAATCATAGATGTTTTGAAAACTAAACTTAATATGTTAGCATTTGAAAATATTTTATCAATATTTAAGATCTTAATATCATAATTTTTTTAAAAATCTTTAGAGTTAAAGGACTAAAAGTATATTTTTAAAGTTAAAGAATCAAATTAAAATTTTATACAAAGTTAAAGAACTAAATGTATACTTTAGTCAAGAAAGTATCATTTTAGGTTTACAATATAATATCCATAATTGAAAACGTTGACATTTCTTTTATTCATGACACGATGTTTGATTTATTCAAATTAATTATTGATATAACATGTCCGTCTCTTTAAAATTGAGATGCGATTTATTGTCCATATCCTCAACTTGCTCTGGTTGGTAGAAAATCATTCATCTAACTCATTATCCGGCTCAGGCAACAAAAAAAAAAACACTTTTTTAATATTAAAAAAATTGGTACCAAAAAAAAAACTCATTAAGAAATCAAAATCAACATTGGGCATTAAATTGAAGTTCGAAATCCATCATTATTAAGGCCATGCCTTAAAAGTCATACTCATGATCAACGCAATGCAAGCCATCATATTCAATATTTTTGGTTTTAATATAGATTAATTTAATTTTCAGTGATACGGTGTGTGTGTGTGTGTCGAATATTTTTAACATTTTGTAAAGTACAAGGAATTAATTTAAATAAATGTTGAAAAAGGCGATGTACCATATAAATTATTTTCTCATGGAAAAACAAGCTTCCTTATGTTTGGAATAGAATGAGATACTACATAGTATCATATTTATACATTTATGTATGTCCTCATTAAAGCAAGCACCATTTTTTCAATATTATATAAACATTCATTACTCTAATATTATTTTTCTAGTGCATTCAGTATCCCTTAATGTTATCTTTCAGTTAAATCCATCATCGTAATTTTATTTATATTTTAGGATATTAGATACAATATAAATAAGATTAGGACCAAAAAATAACATTTGGCTGTTGTTATATATATTATAAATAAGATTAGGATACTGGATATAAATGAAAAATAACATTAAAGTGTTAAATGTTACCATACCTGTTAAATAAGAAAAGTTGAAAAAATTCCTAATTGACAAAATTTAATTGGAGAACGATACCTAAACAGTAAAATGCTACTCCTCCGGTCCTTAATATAGGACCCAATTAGTGAGTTGGTTTTGGTCCTAAATATAAGATCAATTTCTCATATTTATTAATTTTCTCTAAATTACCCCTATAGATATTCCCTCAACTATAATCAAGTAGAAGAGGGAGAGAGGATATTAAGAAAGATGATTATGGTGTTTTAGGAAAAATGTGTCACTTTTCTTATAATTAACTAATTTACCTAACTTCCTTAATCTAATCAAATTAGTTAAATGGGTCTTATATTAAGGACGGAGGAGTACGTTTTATATTTTTTATATCGAAAAGGAATAGGTAGTACCATTCACCAGTTGATTTTAATGAGAGAATTTCTCCCAATTTCTCCGATTAAATATTAAACAAAATATATTGGTAATATCTGATGCTTTCAGTTAGGCATAGTAGTCAGATTTCACTTGCCATACACGTTAGGTACAAGCCTTAATAATGTAATATTGTGACTAAAATTCTTTTAAAAAGAAAAACAAATTTTACCTACCCTTGTGAATTAAATTTCATTTTCCGCTTTGTTCTAAAAGTAAAAAGTGGAAACAATTGGATTGCATGAAATATTAACGGGGTAAATGACAATCAAAGTGAACTTGGACGATAACACTATCAAATGAAATTTGTACAACATGGGCATGGAGAAAAAGTTAAGAAAAAATCACAATTAAAAACCTTAAAATTTGAAAAACAAAGATAGGGACTCATGATAATTTTACTATAGCTTTTGACAATAATAATACGTCATGAAGTTGTTAAAATCCATACTGAAGTTATTGCGGGTCTTTATCTGTGTTTTTCAAATTTCATGGTCTTTTTTTGTGATTTTCCCAAAGTTAGACTAAATGTCCTATATTCACATATTTGCATAGTCAAAGAAATTATGATACGAAGTTGCGTTGTTATGAATTTAAGGATCACTATCATCTCTATATTTTCCGTAAACCTTTCATGAATGCTATGGAAAATTATGGCCGTAAATATGAAAGCGGTAAGGGCAAAAAAGAACAAAAGCAAAACCTAAAGGGCCATATGAGTATTTAATGGCCCATTTTTTTGCCGGCATTTAATGGCAATTTATCAAAACCAACCTCATTTACTTGAGGGGCCATGGATACTTAGCAAGAGCCCTGAACGAGTTGAAGGGACCCACTCTGATGGGGTAGGCCCTTTAGTATCGTAGGCCACTGTAACAATGTCGATATGTGAACAGTATTCCTTCCTGCTCAAATATATACTAAACTTTATAAATTACGTCTATAAAAAAAACTAATTAAAATCAATTTAAATAATAATATGTAAGGTATATATATTTTTTTCTTAATATACTATTATTAATAATAAAATAATAAGTAAAAGATGTAATAAATAAATTAAAGATGAGAGAGAATATATCAGGATAAAATTAAAAAAACTTCATTAAATACTTAGACAAAAACCAATGTTATCTTATAAAAAAACCAACATTTTAAAAAAAATTTAGCTTATATTTTGAACCGGAGGGAGTTTTTTTTTTTTTGTTCAAACGTATCCTTCTATAAAAGATAATCCTATTCGGGGCACTTTTCAAACACTAAATGTGGACACTTCTCCTGATGAAGATTCGAACATTGGTTCATTACGTCGTAAGAGGTTAGCTTCTTTCACTAAACTCAAGTCCCATTGGCTATTTATTTATTTTTGGTTTAGGAGTATTTTATGCCAATGGTGAAAACTGATATTTTTTGAGATAGGAGGAGCAAATATATATATATATATATATATATTCAAAGTTTACAACTTTACATCAAGCGAATCCACCTTTGAGCAAATTTACGTTGCATGTTAAAGTTGCAATTATTAGCAGTCATTGAAGGCTGATTTCGAGGGTATGAAAGAAGAGGAAAGGTGAAAAACTGCTCTATTTTTCCCCGGGGGGAGAGAAAGAGAGAAAGAGCACTATTATGAATCAAATTCCAAATATTTTTTTTTGCCTTCAAAATTCCAAATATTTAATGCAACTAATTTTGCCTTCATTGATGGCATCCACGTTGCATGGTGTTAAAATATATAATAAATGAGAGGGAAAAAATCATTTAGTGCAACTGCCACTAATAAGTAAGACGATCATTAACACCACGGTTAGAAAGTAGAAGAAGCTCAATAATCCAGAGATTTGACTCAGATTTGAGGCCGTAAAGAAATGGAAGAAATATTAGCCACAAAGTAGTTGAGCCATACCTGTGTACTCCTCCGGTCCTTATTATAAGACCCTATTTGGCTTTTTATTTGGTCCTAATTATAAGACCTCAATCCATTTTGTCTCTAAATAGAGAAATTGACATGAGTATAAATATTTTATATTTATAAATAATATTTTAAATTTAAATCTTATGAATTTAGAAGAAAAAAAATTCCAATGGGGATGCAACACCATTCACATTTAAATTAATATTATTTTCACAGGGCTGTAAAAAAAAAAATTCAAATGAAGTGAGAACTGAGAAGTCCCTCCCACGTCTTTTCTAGAAACTGTAAAGCTAATCATATGTGAAGGCGAGTGAAAGAAAGAGACAATATAAAACGGAAGAGTTGTCAATGAATAAATCATTATGGAATCATAATTAAGTGGTCCGCTTATAACGAACCTACTCTTCCTGGTGTGGCCCAGATAGGCACCGAAGTGGATTTGTAATCACTTCACCAGTTAGATAAGAAAAGCGGTCACCATCTCTTCATTTGT